AAGGGGATGACGTGAAGGATAAATTACCAACTAAATCAAAATTGTAATGTGCATGTGGTTGAGTGATGTAGGGACATATAATTTGCAATAAAAAATTATCAATTTCATTTCACTTCAAAGTTTTATTCCATCATTATTACTTCATTTTTGGTGCGATCCAAAACAACCCATATATATAATTTACCACTATATATATATATATATATATACGTTTATCTTTTTTTTAGAAAAAGAAAAAACAAATAGTTCAAGGTGTAATGTTGGTTAGATATACCTAACAAAATATGCCATGAAAAATATAAATAAAAGGCTTGGGAAAGCTTATTTATAATTTTCTATTTATAAATATTCACATTTAACAAACTTCACCCACATGATCCATAATTCAACATAACAATAGAACGATGGATCTAATTTAAATATTACTTAATTATATAATTTTAATTAAGAAAAATAATAATTAAATTGAAATGATAAGTTGTCAGCGTGATTGATATGAAATGTCACTGTTTATAGAGAGTAGGCAACCATGTCCCCACAAAACAAGATTAGTTACGATTTCTCGTCACCAATTACAAAGTCTCGTTTAATAATACCAAACCTTCGTCTCTGATTCCCTAATCAGGAAATTTTGATTTAATTAATCAATCAAATCCCCACGTTAAATTCTATTACTACATATGATTACTGTTAGTGGTAGTTCAGTTTAGGTTCCAAAAAAAATACTAGAAGACCAGTCTCTAATTCTATATCTATATATATATATATATATACATATTCTTACACAACAAAAGGGTAAAGTAGATGATGCTTTTTGTACTTCTATAATTAGATTAAATAAAAACACCACTTAGAATTTCACATCATTATTAATCCATGCATTAATTAATTGAATAGATTATCTTAAACACAAAAACCTACTTTCAAACACGCAAAACAAAACCCATTGCTCATGATTGAAAACATAATTAATTAAATCTGCTCCATTAGACATATCTATTTTATTTATAAATAACTGGTATCAAATCCTATCTTTTTTTTTTTGTTTTTTTAAATATAAATTAAGCACTAAAGTATTGTATAAAGCTAATTGGATATATTACAATAATCTCTAACCGCGGGTACACACTTTTTGCTTCTTTCTCTCGGACACAAGACTAGATCTCTAGCTAAGGAAACATGAGATTCAGAAATGAGATTTTATTCAGTGCCTGAAGACCATGAGACTGATTATTAACTGAAAGCTTTAATTTTTTTTTTAGTTTTAGAAGAAAATTTGTTAATGAAAAACATTTTAAGAAGAAAAAACCCTCCTCCTTAGATCAAACCAGGAAAAGAAAGTTCCTTTTTTTAAGGGGATTACAGATGAGAAATGTACTAGGCAACCCATAAGGGAAAATGAAGGAAAGAAAATAAATTCCCTTTGGATCAATTTTGTTCCATTTTATCCTCAACAAAATGATTCATCATTGATTAAACTAACCAAAAAGAAAATAAAGAAGAAGAAGAAGAAGAAGAAGAAGAAAAACAACTAATTAATACCAGATGCTTACTCTATCTAACAAATTTATTATTTCATCAAAACGATCAAGAAGAAGAAGAAGATCCATTAGTACCAACATGCGCCACATGACTATCACTCTCGAACCGATGATGGTTCAGGTTGTGTCCATGGCTGCCATCGTTGTTATTACCATCATTACTGTTATCGTTATGATTATTCTCGCTGTTGTTGTCGTTGCTGTCGATATTACCAGTCCGACCACCACCGCCATTGATATCCCTCTTCCCAAAAGTGTTCTTGTTGTTGTGCATCCAAACTTTCAACACCCCTTTATCCACACCCACTTCACTGCAAAATTCCTGCACCAAATCCTCATCTCTCTTCTGCATCTTCCATCCAACTCTCTCAGCAAACTCCAGCATCCTATCCTTCTGAAACTGACTGAACTTGGTTCTGAACCGCTTTCGTGAACTCGGATTCTGATTACTCATCGCCGCAATTGCCGCCGACGACAAATTAACGTGGGAATTTGAACCCATATGATGATTATTGTTGCTGTTGATGTTATCCGGATGCGAATGGAGTCCGGACCCAGAGAGAGCGAGAAGCATATGCGGTGCGGAAGGGTAGTAGGCGGAAGAGATAGGCGGTGGTGAAGCCGAATTGGGACTGCGATGAGACGGTGGTGGAGGTGGGTGATGGCGGTGATGAGGCTGGTACTCTATAGCTGTAGTTGCGGTGTTTGTGGGAGGTGGGTCTTCCGGGTCACGGCGATGGAAGTTGCGGTGGCATCCGCATGCGGCGCACTTCAAGGATGTTGGGTCTGATGGGGTTGAAGAAGGTGAAGGCATGAACTCTCCACAGCCATCTAAAGCGTGGCCACCCAAGGAAGCGGCGTGGTTCTTGAGACATTCCTTGTAGGTGATGATTACAGGATGTTGGTGGTGATGATGGTTCCGCTTGAGAACACCGTTGGTGAAAGAAATTGGCTTGGCGGGTTGGATCCGAGTAGGGGTTTCACTCTCTGGTTCAGGAGATTTAGGTGTTGGAGTGGGGGCTATGTCCATGGCTGAAACATCTAGGGTTAAATATTTAAGTAAAATAAAAAGGAAAAAAATGGGAGTAGAGGTGTTTTTGTTAGGTTAAGGGTCTTGTTAAAGTTGAGAAGAGAGAAGTGATGGAGAAGATAATAAGTTGTTTTCAGTATTTTTCCTTTTGGGGGAGGAGGAGGAGGAGGAGGAGGAGGAGGAAGAAGATGAAGATGAAGATGATGATGAGCAGTGATGACTGTTGATAACAAAAATCTGTGTTTTGTGGTTGTCCTTCTTAACCACTTGTTGTTTTAACCCTTATTCTAAATCATGGTTAATTGTTGACCCTACTTGGGGTTAGATGTTACGAGAGGTAATAAATTTTTGTTTGAGATTTTAATTAATTTCTTCTCTTTTTTGACTCAGCTACCCCTGCTTAACAATTAATCACTTTCACACCTTCTCTAAAGTAATGACTGGGTTTGACCCACAGAATTGGTTGATAATTTTGTGGGGTTAAAAATAAATCTTTCCCCACACCTGCAAAAATTCTGAGACCATTCACTGTAACCCATCTTCATTTGTCAAGTTGCACTGAAGAGCTGGACCAAAACAGTAACCCCCCCCAACTTCAAATTTTTTTTATTCTTGCAACCCATCTCCTTAAAAGACCAAATTACCCTTCCTCTCTCTTACTAAGATTCTCTGGGACGGTGTCAGACATGTCTTTTTAACTCAATTGTAACGAAAAATTAGAGCGGAGGGCGTTTGGGTCAGCAGGCGCCTAAAATTTAAAGGTATTTTTGTCGGCTTGAGAGAACTTTCGGACGTTGAACGGGGTTGTCTCTTTGCCAAATGAAACGACACCGTTTCGTCCTCGTCCCTCATCTCTTTTCAACCATCTGACAAAAGAAACCCCACGTCTCGAAACCGTACCGGGAATTGGGGGCTCCATCATTTCCGTTTGACCAAAATACCCTCCAACCCACCGAATAATCACCACACCAACCTTGGAGTTTACACGAGACTGGCGATAATTATAGCCGCAATAATCACAATTAAAAGAAGGTTCCCCTGGTCGGATGACACGTGTTAACAGGTGTCACGTGGCAATCTACGAGACTACACTTTTCAATACAGACAGCCACGTATCCGAAGGTGGGTCTTGGTTTCATACAATTAGTGAAAAGTCAAAATTTTTTGACAATTAATATGTCAGCTTCAGTTAAACAAATTAAAATTAAAATTAAATCGTAGGTACCCCTACGGGCTACACTCTCACTTTCTCCCACCCTCGGAACCGCTGAGGGCACTGATTTTAGTGTTAATTAACAATTATTATATGAGCTTAAAAAATGTATTAAATATTAAACCAATAAGATTTAGAGCATTGAGGAGAGGAGGATGGAGGATGACGTCAGGAAGACCAATCATGGAGGGTGTGCTAAGGGGTTTGATCATCGAGGGGTGTGTAGCCCAGCGTCTTGTATTGAAACTCACACCCCCCTGCTTCTGTTTGTGTAAAATTAATAACAATACATTTATATTTTTTTTAAAAAAAAAATATTTGTTATTTACTCACTAAAAAAATATTTAAAAATTAAAAAAAAAAAAAAAACATTGATCCAATTCAATTCAGACGGGTTCAAATTATTTGTTTTAATTTTTAACACGAAATTAGAGGATGTAAAATTATGTTAAATTCTATAAGATAAAAATAAATATGCATATTTACATGTATAAACTGAGTATATAAGCTACTAATTTAATTGATCATATTTTAAATTAGTTATCGTTCAAATTCATATATTATTTATTTTGAATTTAATATCCTTTATTCACCCAGATGAAGATGAACCTCGTATCAATAAAAAAAAAAGTCAATGTCAACATACATACAAATTCAATTTTTAATTTTTTTTTTTTAATTACATATCATCTGATAATGTATAAATAATTGACCAATATGAAATAATTATCCTAACAAATTAATATTCATTATTTATTATTAGTATAGTCGACGGTCCAGTTGGGAGTTCATTTTTAAAGTTTATCTTCTTCTTTCATGTTGCAATATATTTTTTATTCAAGATAAGAAATCTTTTGAGATTATGAATGTTATTAATAATTTCATATTTGATCAAATTAAGCAAACATATAGTTTTACAAATTATATAGAATTATCTATAATTACATTTGTTACGTGAACCGTGATTTCAATTTATTTTTATCTTACATTAAAATTCACATATAATAAACCAATGAATTTTGACTTTGTAATTATCTGGGTCTTAATTCAAAATAAAAATTTATTTTTTGACTTTTATTTACAGTAAAAAAAAATTACATGTAATATATAGAAACACTTCCAAAAGAAAATTTTCCTCTTTTCCATTTTAACAACACTTCCATTCCATACTCTTACTTATCCTAGAGGCAGTATTAGTATTCGAATAATTACTTCATTACGTTATATTACTATGCATGTACCCATGTTTATACGTGTGTGTGTGTGTATAAATATCTGCTTTTACTTTTTCAATTCTTCTTTGTTTTGAAATTTTTAAAACCTAGCTATTGCTTCTCCCTATCAAAAAAACACACAAAATATGTAATTTTGGAAATTTTTTATTTACAATATGGAAATATTGTTTAGTTTTATTCTCTAAATTCGTAATATGTATTTATATATATATATATATGTTAATACATAAAATAATTAACACATATCTAATATTAAAAGTAATTAATTACTTCTTGATTTTTCTCTAATTATTTTATGTTTGTTTAGCAAAAATTATAAATTTAATAATTAAGTGATGTTTGCAAACTAATGACAACACAATTAATAATATCAAAATGGTACTTACAACCTTTTAACGGTAATACATATGAAATATACAACTCTGACTCGAGCTCAAATTTTCATAGAGATGAGTAAAAGTAACAAATACCAAACCATTAGATAATTGGGTGACTCTCTTATGTTTTCTTTTGGTTATTTCTTATTCAATTCTTGTATAAGTTTATATAATTTTTGTATTAGTATTGGTAATAATTATAATACAATTTTTTTGACTTTTAATTACTTTCAACTTTAATTTTTTTTTCTAAAATTGTGTATTTTTTCTAGAGAATGTAATATATTTTGTATGATGAAAATTATACATAGGTAGAAATAAACGGCATGTAAATCCTACTATTAACGCCCAACTAGGAAGAGGTGAGCCAAATCGGTATATGTAGAATTTTTACAAATCCATGTCACATGTTCGTTCTCTTTGTCATTCTGTAAGTATTGTGTAATACCCAAATTTAATTTTAATATAATTTAAAATTAATTTATAAATATAATTTTTGTAATTTTCTATTTTAATTTAGTGTAAAAATAAAAAAAAAAATTGACGGGGGATAA